TCTGCAGCAGCAGCTTTACCTGCAGCAGCAGCATTTGCATTTGCATGAGGATCTGCTGCAGCAGGAGCACTAGCAGCAGCAGCAGCAGCAGCAGCAGCAGCATTTCTTTCCTTTAGGATATGGTGTATATAGATTTGTGTTTGTGTGTTCTCTGTTTGTTCTTCTTGCTCAGGGAGCTGGGTGGAGGGGTTTTACCGCCTGGGTATGAATGTGTACGCAATGGATCATCAGTCTCATGGGCGGTCTGCTGGCTGGCGCGAGTGGCGTTGCAATGTATCGAAGTTTGATTACTTTGTTGACGATGCTTTGCAGTTTCTGCATGAGGTTGTTTGTGAGGATCCGTGTTTACCTGAAGGTGCCCCTATAATTCTTTTAGGGTATTCAATGGGTGGAAATGTAGTGATTCAGACTTTAGGTAGAATATATAATGGAGATAAAGAAACATATCTAAGAAAAAGAGTCAGCCAAGCTGTATTGCTCGCTCCTCTTATAAAAATTAAACTGGATTGGGTTACTCAGCTCATGGCGAAACTTAATAGATCATTGATTTCTTGTTGGCTCCCAAATCTAAGATTTTCAAGAGCAGATAACAGCGGTGATTGCCCGTATCTCGGTTGGTGGTATAATAGAGATCCATTCACATATTCAGGTGAGCCGCACCGCACCGCACCGCACCGCACCGATCGCTGAGGTGTACGTACACCTCAGCTGTGCACCGCACTGGATGCAATGCACAACCGGCGGTTGAAACCAGTGGAAAGCTGAATATTTTTTCATGAATTTTTAATTTTTTTTTTTNAATGCACAACCGGCGGTTGAAACCAGTGGAAAGCTGAATATTTTTTCATGAATTTTTAATTTTTTTTTTTTCAGGAAGGACGAAATCGAGAATGGTTGCAGCTTTATTCGATGCATCGCAGAAACTTCCTCGTATTTTGAGCTGCTTTCCACCTGAACTGAAGCTGCTCTGCCTGCAGGGCACGCACGACCAGACCGTTGACTTTCACGCTCCTCTCAAGTTGTATGAAACCCCAGTACGCTTGGATCTTCTCTACCTCTGCGGCTGGAGCCACTACATCCCCAAACACTCGGGCGCAGACCGCCTCATTGGCTTGGTCACTGCCTGGCTCCTCAAAGCCCTTTCAGCTAAAAATGTAAGCCGTCAGACAGCTTTCACTCACCTACATACATGCACACGCATGCATGCATATACGTATGTATTAACGAATAAATACACGCATATATATATGTATATTTATTTATTTGTTTATTTATGTCTGTATCTGCTTTTGTCTGGATGCAATTATGTACGTATGCATATATGTATTTATGCTTACTTACATACGTGTGCATGTGCATGCTTGTATTCTGG